GAATAATTTTAATAACAGACATTTTTAAAATCTATTTCTTTAAACTTTTTTGTTGTGAGGCTGTCCTATGTATTGGGGAAAGGATGATTGGAGGGTAGGGATGGAGAGGGGAGAAGATGAAAAGATACATGAATAAAGATGGAGTAGGGGCAGGGAGTTATGTAAGGAAGTTTGTGCAAATCCCACTATGCACAAAGAGAATGGCTAGTGAAAAATATTGCAGGTCTTTGCAAATTTCTCAAACTTTGCCTTGCTGCCAGCAAGCAAATCTAGGAAGGGATGCTTAAAGAACTTGGTAAACAACCACCTAGCTCTTCCACTAACAAATCCATGGACTTTTAGTTAAGGTCACCTAAAACTTGCAAAAGTTATTCATTTGCTGAAGAATGTAAAAAATTACTAAATTTTAGTCTTAAGATGGAATCAAGAAGTCTCCAATTCTCATTTTTCCAGCTATAATCATTCAAAGAGTCCTGGCTTTTGTAAGGAAAGTGTAGAAGGCTACAAGGTATACAGGGCCTAGCAGTTGCTTCTTTTTGTTCTTTTAATGAGATATATGTACATCTTTCAAATAATGCCAACACTACACTGAAAATCTGTAATTTAATTATTGATAATGAGTTCTGAAAATTGTACAGGGCAAATACATGTCCTTAAGTTTAATTTTAAAAATCCCTGGAGTTTCTGAAAAATTGGTATTACAATTCTGAGATTTAAGCATGGGTTTGTAAATGAACAGCTGGAGCTTAATTTTTCTCATTCACATGAAGAACTGTTTCAGCAATATCGAATACAATGGTTCTCAGCCCATAAAGGAGGGTAAAAGGTGATTTTTTTCCCCAGAGGACATTTGGCATGACTGGGAAGTACCACTGGCATCTAGTGGGTAGAGGCCAAGGACGCTGATAAATAATCTGCAGTGCACAGGACAGCCCTCCACAACAAAGAATAATCTGGTCCAAAATATAAATAGTGTCAAGGTTGAGAAGCCTTGCCTAACCCAACTGCTTTAAATATTATTAAGTGATAATGGTGAAATCAACAAGTCATTATTTTCATTAAATACCAATTTGCACAAAGGTCATTTGAACAAACCCTGTCTAAAGCTGTATGTAAGCTATACAGAGGGGGAAAAAAGACACATAAAGTGATCTGGAAAAAATGAAAAAACTAAAGAGAAAAATATATATATTTTTATTTATAAAAGTATTCACATACAATTTTCAAGGAACTAGAAAAATAACCTTCTTTCTTAGACACTATTCTGAGGAAGATGAAAAACAAAAGGATTATAAACTATGCTACCCATAAATACTAATCCGTTATCAAGTTGTTACTCTTCAAATGTATCCACAACCACTGGAAAATCAGCCCTCTTGTCATGTCGCCTTTGATAACAGAAAATAAATGTACTGATATGGGATTCATTATAAAAATTTTTAGTTCCTTGGGTTATAGGGCTATTTTTAAAAATTAAAGAGAATTTATTGGAAAGTAACTCTGTGGCTTGGGAGATCCAAGAGTGTGCTCAGCCATTTAGCCCCTACCCACCTCCTCTCTTTCCCGGTAGAAGTCCCAGCTAGAGGAAACAGGATACTATTTGCTGTGGTATCTCTTTCCTGGTAGATCTCCCAGTTAGAGGAAAACAGGATACTATTTGCTGTGGTAATCACTCCAGTTTAAACTTCTTGAGAACACCAGTAGCTAACATCTAAGCATTTACTAAAAGGATAAACAAAATCACTTTTATAGCTCCTCTCAAAAAATGTTGTGCATTAAAATGGTAAAATGGACAAGAATTTCATTAAAATAAGAACCTTCATTGCAGAACTATTTACAATAGCCAAGACATGGAAGCAACCTAAATGTCCACTGACAGACGTATGGATTAAAAAGATGAGAGATATATAATATATATATATTTATATTATATTTATTTAATATGTAACATATATATTAAAAAGATGTGATGTGTGAGATATATATAGATATATATATATATAATGGAGTATTATTCAGCCTTAAAAAAGAATGAAATAGCGTCATTTGCAGCAACATGGATGGACCTAAAAATTATCATACTATGTCAGATAAAGACAAATATATGATATCACTTACATGTGGAATCTGAAGTAAAAAGACACAAATGAACTAAAATAAATACAAAACAGAAACAGACCTTTCATAGAAAACAAATTTTTGGTTGCCAAAGAGGAAGGGGTAGGGGAAGGATAAATTAGGAGAACGGGCTTAACATATACACACTACTATACATGAAATAGATAACCCACAAGGATCTACTGTATAGCACAGGGAGCTATACTCAATATTCTGCAATAACCTATAAGGGAAAAAAATCTGAAAAAGTATTTGAGTCACTATGCTATACCCCTGAAACCAACACAACACTGTAAATCAAAATACTTCAATTAAAAAATAATAACTGAACAAATCCAAATCATGGGGGAGGTACTCGGTAAATATTTGCAAACAAATAGACAAATGAATTACTCTGTTTTAAATTCCACATTAAATACAACATATCCAGATGAATCTAGATGGGTTTTCATTTAGCTTAAATTTTAGAGACAGTTCGTCATAGATAACTATCATTTTACAAGTGAATCTATAACCTAAGCTATTCCAATAAAACCATGTTAATTTCACCTTCCTTTTGGCCTCCTATCCTTGCCAACTGAAAAAAAAAATGAATCAATTGTGATAACTATTGCAAAATGTCTTACTAATCCCACTGGACATGTAAATGTGACCAGAGGACAAGGAAGGATAAGGAAAGAAGCCTTAATGCAAGATGTCCAGCCACTGCCTAAGTCCTCTCTAGCATGATGGGAATGACTTTTTTCTTTAGATGAAACATCTTGAAATATGGAATTTTAAGTTTGAGGTAAATAAATTTGTACAAAACATTATTGCGCTGTAAGCTCTTCCTTTTCCTGGTAATTGATATAATGGATTTCCTTAAGGATTAACGTTTTCTATAACATTTACTATTCACTTCGATAAACAGTTGTTCAGCAACAATTCGAGAAAAATCCCAACTCTCAGAGTCAAGTCTGTTTTGGTGAATGGAGGAGGTCGAGAAATATAGAAAACCCAATAAGAAGAATGTTTAAGCTATCATTCTGGAATTAATTGAACATCGATAAAACTGGGAAAGAAAGTAAAAAAATAAGGGAATGAGCGAGCAGAACCACCTCTAGGAGAGAAGGGGCACAGACTGCAAGAGATTCAACCATGTAACACTCTACGGTGTGATAGCACTGCCATCCATATGCAGCAGTGTGTTAGGTGCTCAGTCCGGTCTGACTTTTTGTGACCCCATGGACTGTAACCCGCTAGGCTCCTTTGTCCATGGGATTTTCCAGGCAAGAATATTAGAGTGGGTAGCCATTCCCTTCACGAGGAGATCTTCCCAACCAGGGATCGAACCTGGGTCTCCCGCATCACGGACAGGTTCTGTACTGTCTGAGCCACCAGGGAAGCCCTGTAGGTAAATTTTTAATTTAATTATTAGACTATTGAGTTTTGGCTCCAGAGTATTTTTCCAATGCAGATCGATTCTGCTGGGTTTTTTTTGTAAATTTTGTTTTAAAAAATAGTCTTTTTCTTTCAGAAGTAATTCTTCAAATTCAGTTCACACAAGGGGATTTGATGTGCTGAGTTCCAAATGCACTGTATTCAGCAATGCCTATCAGATGCCTACTGAGTCTTATGCTCTGAGCAAGCTTGCAGGCACCCCCTCAAGTCTGGGACCCATTATTTTGCTTTTGGCAAATTTTCACTAAGTACTTTTCCTCGTCTCATATCTTAAATCCTTTATGAACATGCGAGCGCCTCCCTTCCAAAAGCATTTGTGTGAGTAGTTCACAGGCTGGTTCATCTACTGCAATGTGGCTTTATGATAATGGTTTGTTTACATGGTTCCTACAAGGTAGTGAAGATGTGAGTGCATCTTAGAGAAATCTGAAATCTTTCAACAGGATCTGATCCAAAGGAAAAGTAAGTTATAATTGGGGGAGAGAGAGAGAGAGAGAAATCAGATCTCCCCTCTTGGTCTGAAGGTGCACACCTGTAGGGGCAGGAGGCTTAGGTGCCCAATTCCGTATTCAGATGTGGCCTCCAGCAGACTCACCTACTCTATGGGCCTGGGATAACTGAATAGCTGAAGCACTGGCAAGGTCCCCTGGCACTTTCAGGGGCGCCTGGCAATCAGGTGTGTTATGGCTTCTTATCTCATGGTGCAGCAGTAACAAAGCTGAATGAAAGTGGACTCCGTGTAGGGACCCCTTAAGAGTTTTACTTGGGTTGCCTCATTTCATTCTCAGGCAACAACGCTGTGAAGCAGGCAGCTCTGACCCGGCTCCCATTTTACAAGGAGGCAGCTGAGGTTCCAAGAAGCTCGGTACCTTGCTCCAGAGCACACAGGTAAACGGCAGAGTGCAAGTTAGGAAAGACCTTCCTACTCGATACCCCTACACTCTTAACCACCAAGCTGCCTCCCTCCAGTGTGTCTATTTTCTTGTCAACACGCTGGCTCTTAGGCATCCAGTTCTGAGTGTCGTACAACGTGACCCCGAAATCCTTCCAGCCCTTCTGTGGGCGGGATTCGGGTCCTCATCCCTGAGAGACGCTTCGCCCACCTGAGCAGGCCGGGATCTGCCTGATTGGGACACCACCCCCACCCCGATCCCTTTCGTGGTCGTGGACTGGGACCCAGCCAGGAAGAGGCGGCGGGTTGTGCGGGACCGGAGCCACCTAGCCGGCTGCGTTCGGCCCCCGCCCCTTCGCCCGGCCGCGGGGCGGGACTAGGGTCGCGCGGGCCGGGTAACAGGCGCCAGCAGTGGGAAGCAGCCGCCGCCCGGGCCGCGCGGGGCGAGGCGAGGCGGGGCGGGGCCGGGCGCGACGGGAAGGGGAAGCCGCGCGGGCCCGGAGCCGCGCCGCACCAGCCCGCCTGCATCCACCGCTCATCAAGCGCCGCGATGGGGCTGGAGACCGAGAAGGCGGATGTCCAGCTCTTCATGGACGACGACTCCTACAGCCGCCACAGCAGTGTCGATTACGCAGACCCCGACAAGTTCGTGGACCCAGGCAGCGACCGAGATCCCCACCGGCTCAACTCGCATCTCAAGGTGAAGCCCAGGGCGGGCCCTCCCCTGGGTTTGAGGGCGTCCCAGGGCCCCCGCCAAGGCCTAGGATGAGGGTGCCTCCTCTACCCTGCTCCGACCCCAACTCCCACACTTGCCACTGGGTCAGCCCCACAGGGTCTGGGGCCCAGATCCTCGCCGCCGAGCCGCCTGAGTAACCAGGAATTTTTTTTTACCAAATTCCTGTTCTCGCACCGTGACCCTAAGAGAAGGTGGGGCATCCCAGTCAAGTCTGTCTTTCTAGAGTACTCCTGGTTCCTGGTGAGGCAGGTTGGGTGACAGTTCAGGATCCCCGAGTCTTGTCTCCGCAGGTGGGATTCGAGGATGTGATTGCAGAACCAGTGTCTACGCACTCCTTTGACAAAGTGTGGATCTGCAGCCATGCTCTCTTTGAAATGAGCAAATATGTGATCTACAAGTTCCTGACGGTGTTCCTGGCTATTCCCTTGGCTTTCGCTGCGGGAATTCTCTTTGCCACCCTCAGCTGTCTGCATATCTGGTGAGAAGGGGCACACTGGGATGGGCCAGCTTTCTGAGACATCGGAATGTTCTTTGCCACCTGCCCCCTGCCCTCCCCTTCTTCCAGCTGGGCAGAAGAATGTGCATCATTTCCCAACATAGTAGCAGCAACTGGGAGACCTGAAAAGGCAGTGTGCTTCGATTTGTAGGTAGGGTTAGGAGTTAAAAACAGAAGAAGGCATGTCCCTCTGTCCTCAGGTGTGATTTTCCATTAAGTTGCTAAGGCCCAGCTGATTGTGGAGGTAGAGATCTGGAGGCCATGCTTCCTGCCACAGGCTGCGCCCTCCTAAGGCCCTGTTTTGACTTATGCCTCTCGTTCTGGGCAAGGCTCTTACTTCTTTTATTACCTTTCATTCAGTCACCACCCGTGTTTGGGGTAAAACAAAAGTGATCTCTGAACAGAATGCCAGGGACAGTATCCTTGCAGAGGGATGTCAGACCTGGTTAAGCAATGATATGGAGGGGTTGCTCCAGGCCTGCCACTGGAAAATGGCAAGGATAGGACCAGAGAAGATGCAAGGTGTGTGCAATTAAGGTGTATAGGCTCCCAGCACAAATGAATGAAAATTCAAACTACAGATAATGAAAATGAGAAGGCTTCCAAGTTACTTTTTCACCTCTGAAACCCCGATAGAAGTGGCATCTAGGGCATTAAAGGGAAAATAAATATAGAAACCTACTGGACATTTTAGGATGTTTTGAGTAACTTTCTTCACACAAAAAGGTATCATAAAGCTTCAGAGACCATTTTTAAGCATTAAAAAATTTTTAGGGAAATGTCACATTTGACCTATAAGTTGTGTTATTGTTGTTTTAAAAGATGTCCACTTTATTCTGAGAGGAAGAGCATTCAGATTATCCCTGGTATGGCAACAATTGTGAATCCTGTCTTTTAGGGCAGTCCTGGAGAAATACATAACCCTTGATGCCGCCATATCTTTTTCTTAATCATTTTATATGGTAATACCACACCCTAATACATGTTGTGCTCATTGTTAGAAGTTATGAAATTGTTCTACATTTGCCTTTACCATCTGAATTAGTCAGTTAGCTAGCTGGTTAGTTCAACTAAGAAAATTTATTGAGTACTGAGTTTGCGCCGGGTACTGGGCCCAGGATGAATACGATGCAAGATCTGCCTTCACCTTACTCACAGCACATCAGGGCAACTGGCTAGGTACAGAGGTGGCTGCTGAGGGAAACAGCTAAATCTGTGGAGGAGGGAAACACAGAGAAGGCTTTGTAGAAAGAAAAGAGTTTAAAAGACTTTTTAAGGATAAATTGAAGTTCACTCAATTTATGAGATTAAAAATTATGAGATTAAAATTAACAATTTATGAGGTTAAAAATAACATCAATTTAATTTGATTATTAAAAGCTGTAAACAAACTATATTGAAAGTGTCAAAAGACTACTAAGAGGAATGAAAATCTTTGCCTTTTTTACATGAACAGCTCCTCAAAGGCCAGATTTACAATCAGGTCATATTTAGGTATTAGCACAAATCAGCACATCTTTTGAATAAAACCAGTCATGTAACCTCTATGTCCATTTTCTCACTTTCCAAAATGTGAAAAACTGAGTGACCACATCGTATATTATGAAATGCTGGCTATGGAACTATTTGGAAATACAGACTGTCAGTCAACAAAGCTAGGCTTTCCTAAAGCACTTGTGAATAATTGATAACAAAAGGGTTTTTATTTACCAAATGGTAGAAAGATAAAAGTAAAACTACAATTAACCAAATGATGCTTCTCTACACCTGGCTCTTCTGAGAATGGGAGATGTTTTTGGTGTAGTGCTTCCAGCAGAGAATCATCAAACCACTTTTTTCCAACCACAGAAACTGTATTATTTAACTTCAACTTATTTTTCAAATTACTTTCATGTTGGGACATTAATATTTAACTGTCATACATCTGTCATCAGGCAGCTGTGATTGCAAGTAGAGGAGTGACTTCAAACAAAAATGTTTAGAAGTTAGTTTATACCTTGATAAAATAGGTTTATTATTAATGGATTACATTCCTGTGACACAATAAGACCAGATCAAGGAAAGGTCTCATAGAAGAGCTAACTTATTTTAAAACCTTATTTTTTGGTGGTTAAGGCTATGAAAATATGCAGTTAAAAGCTCTTTGAACCACACTCCGTGGTCACAACAGATCTGACTTTAGATTATTTAAACAAACAACAACAAAGCACTCACAACTCAGTCTGATGATGTTGGATCCTAGGCCAGAAGTATAGGACGCTAGGAACAGGTGAATTGGTTTGAGTTCATATCAGAGACGGGTTTGAATCTGTGTGCCATTTGACAACCGCAGGTCATAAGTGGATCATATCAAAGAACTGTAACTTGATACATTTTACTCTGCCTTTTACTTTTGCTTGAATGTAATTCAAATATATAATCTAACTGATATAAATGCAGTAGTAACAGTCTCATTTCCCAGGAGGTTTTAATACAGCTAACTGCTGTGACAAGGCAATCTGCGTGATACTATAAATACAAAGCTAAACAAAAGTCCCAGTTCTCAGGGATTTATTGTCCAATGGATGAATATATCATTTTGCTAATTATAAAATGTGTTTAAGAAATGACTGAGGCTGACACTGTTCAGGCTGACACTGAGCCTGAACGAAATTGTGGGTCACTCCAGATCGCCTGGAGTTTCAGAAAGGGAACCAGCTGGGATGTTAGAACACAATTTAAGTTTGTTGTCAAATAATCATTGGATCCTCTGATCCAAAGTGAGAGAACAACTTGAAGAAAATGAAGTTAAAATCCTATGAACTGAGTCCTCAAATGTGGGCAACTACACTTTTGTCCTGTGCTAAATTCCCTCTTGGGACATGGAGATCTAAGGCACTAGAGGTTAGAAAATTTCTCAGCCTAAGAAAGAATGGAAAATGCATTATATACTGAGGAAAGTGAATTTGGTTAGGAAGCATTCCAATCTAAACAAGTCAATTTGAGATTATTTTGTCATAATTGTTTTTATTATATATTCTGACTTCAAAATAGTTCTATTTATTGTTCATCATAATGGCAGCATCATATGGACATGTCAGAGATTCATAGTAAGTGGTAAGCCTGATAGCTGGTCTCTAAGATTTCCTGTTCTTACATTAATTTGGAGGGAATTGCCCAAAGCCACACATCAAGTGAGAAACATAATGGGATAAAAAGTCAAAAGTTACCATCACTCAGGTTTCTATTCAACCATTTAGCTCTAAAACACCTAGTAATTAATTTTCTTTTTAAAAAAAATTGCTTCAAATCTTTAGCACTTGGGGAAAAAACACAAGATATAATTTTTGTAGAAAGTCCATATGAATAATTCAGTAGTTTAAAAATATCTCAAAATCAGACAAATGCCTGATCTCCTCTTCATTTTCGGCTAAATACAACAGACCTTTATTTAAGTCACTGTTTAATAGGAAACCAAGAAAATCAAGATTACTTCTTTGTGCTCACCCAAGTAATAATAAAAATTCTATTAAAGCCCTCCAGCAATGCCTGAGAGTTCACAAATACTTTTGTGCCCAAAAAGCACTACAATGACAAAGAACATTATTCAGAGGATTACTGAAAAACTTAACCAACCTGAGGAATATGAAAATATGTAGTTACTTTAAGAAAAGGCATAGAGAAAAAATAAATTCAGGATATTCGAGTTCTTCTTGTCTAAGAATTCTGACATAATTGCAGGACTCTTTTAGCTACACTACACAACCCTTTTCAGTGTGTGTAATTACCATGAAAAATTAATAATATAAAGCATAAGAGAATGTTAAATTCACTTCAGTTCAAATGTTTACCAAGGGTAAAGGATGTCCTCGTTTAAAAGCTTACATTCTAATATGAAAGATAAACATAATCATCTATTTATGATATCTTTTGGTAAATTTGAGAATTAAGAAATTTGTTTCAGTACTTCAGAAACACAAAAAACGGAGTATCCAACCTATTGTGGTCCAACGGGGAGGGAAGACAACAGGAAAAGCTACCAGGAAGTGGAACTTCAGAGAAATATGAAGATTTAGGCAGGTTAATATTTAGGGCCAGAGATCAAGTAAATAAATTTACTATTTTGTTTAATTTTGCTTTACTATTTTAAATTGCCTGCTACCAATAGAAATAATATTGGCGTTCATCACGTACATGCCTGTTTATTTTTTTAAATATATTTTTTGTGTATCTTATCACAATGTAGGTCACTGTTCATTTGTTTCAAATGCTCAACCTGGCTTAGGTGAATTGGACCACTGTTGTATCTTTTCATGCATGCGCAAGAGTCAGAGGCCTTATTTGGGAACTCCAGTAATCCTTACATATCTCTCTTCCTCCATTCCAGGATTATAATGCCTTTTGTAAAGACCTGCCTAATGGTCCTGCCTTCAGTGCAGACAATATGGAAGAGTGTGACAGATGTTGTCATTGCCCCATTGTGTACAAGTGTAGGACGCAGCTTCTCTTCTGTCAGCCTGCAACTGAGCCACGATTGAATACTTGGGCCCCAGGTCCAGAGATCTGGATACTGTAATACTTGTTTTTATAACATAAAAGCACTACTGTTCTGTTAATTCCCAAACTGTTCAAATTAAGAAAGCTATTAAGATGGGCAACCACATGTAGAATGTTTATTGGCAGATCTTTTCAAATAATGCTTTTCTAATTAAAAGCCAAGGATTTCATATCTAACTTTATAACCAGAATTATTCAGTAGGCAACAATTAATTTTAAAGGCAGGCAGTTTTTTCTTTAGTACAAAGGTATGCATTTTATGATGAATCTGTAATGATCAAGGGACATTTCTCTCAAACACTACAATAGTTTTGTGTACAACTGCTTATAAAAATATGGAATTTCCTATTTTTTTACTCTGGAAGTAATACTTTTTAAAACCTTTGCAGATAAAGTCATAGGGATACTTAGAGATAAGATAATACAAAGATCCTAGAAACTACAGTAACAAAAGTGATGATAGGGGCTCTCAAATAAATGTGAAAATAGATTCATGAAGACATGTTCCTTTAAATAGGGTATTGTTAACTTACAGGTATATTTAACAAGATGTTTCAATTTACTGTATATTTTGTAGTTATTGTACATGTTGCCCTAATCAGATTGCTTTAAAGCACTCTTTATATTTGCTATCTTGTAGTACTAATGTATCTTCCATAAGGAACTTCATTGGTGAGATGGCACTGTCTAGATTACATATGCATATGCATCTTCTTTGGTAATTGAATGTAAAAGAGAGATATACAAGGCTTTTCTTTCTTACTTTTCCAAGCGAAATCCTTAAATGTTTCATGGTTAATGTTTATCTGGCTGTGATCTTAATACAAACCTAATTGATATTTCATCTAAGAGATTGTTTCTGTCTTGTAGTTAAAAATTAATCCTGTATTCTGCATTCTTATTAATGTTTCTCTTTACCTTCAAGTAATATTGGTGCTATTAAATAACACTTTATAATAATGGCTATTTCTGATACTTCAGTACAATTTCAGCTACAGTAATTCATGTATTAACTTCAGCAAAGTTGTTAACTTATTGGGTCCATGCTACTGAACTATGTATATATAAATTAAAAAGTAATAGCTACAAACTTTCAAAATATTATCTAATATGAGTCTTACTGCACAGTATAAAATTATTCTTATTATTTTTGAACTGTAGAGTCCTATTTCAGTGTTATGAGTCACTGTTGTTTTAAAAATCTCTGTTCTAAAATGATAGGCCTATACAAAAGATGTCTATAATGTGAGTGGTTAACTATAATTTACACATCCTAAAAGTGTGTCAAAGCTCAAATTTCAGAATTACTATCAGAACTTGGATTAACATTCCTTTGAATAGTTTCATAGATGACAACTCCTCATTCAATGAAAATTAATTTTATTTTCCCAAGTTTCTAAGACTGGTGAATATAAAGGATGATTGAACTGGAATTCTACTGGGGAACCAAGAACAAATGAATGATTAAATTATGAAGCTTATATCCTTTTGAAGGTAGCTACAAAAGAGATTTTTTTCAAAACTGTCTTAGGTCATTATTAGAAAACACTCATGATCATTAAAGCATTACTACTCATTTGACAACATGGATGTTACTATGTTAGTCAAAAAGGTCAATCAGTCTCATGACTTTATAGTTATACCTTATATTTAAGATGTTTTTAAAAAGTATTTGGCTATGTCATTTGAGCAAAAGTATTTTATTAATAAAATATCTATTTAAATAAATCATGGCTTCTATCTTTTCAAATAGCAAGTTTTTTCAAATTGGCAAGTTTTAAAGCCAAAATATACATACATAGTAATATAAAAAAAACCTATTAACTTGTAACAAGTAGACTATATGATTTCCTTATTTCTGAATAGCATTGATCATTTTCAAAATAACTTTTTATTGAGATTTGTCATTAACTATTTTATTTCAGAGACTGAAATTTTGTACCAAGTGGCTCTAGGTTTCATGTACAAATATGTTGGTTCTTTTATTTGTGAGTGGGGAAGAGGTGGGTGATGGTCGACTTTCCCAGTATCTATAATAAACTTTTTAAAACTTATAAAATGTGTTTATTGCTTTTATTACATATCAAGTTCATCAATAAAGAACCTTTTAAAACTAATTTTTCCTTATTAAAAACTTATAATAGGTAAACACACATGAGTTATTGCTTATTCAGGAATATATTTGTGAAAAATTACATGATTGGTAATTTAATTTTTTATTTTCCCAGCACTTAAGAGGTTCCCTATAAATTTTTCTATCACTTGATGAATATGATAGAATAGCATGTTCTTAAACCAACTATACTTCATATTCTTCATGAAATAGTCTCTTGCTAATCCTAAATAAAGTCATATTTCTGTTTTCAATTTTTTAAATAAGAAAGGAAAACAATATAAATCACATGTATTTGGATACTAGTACCAGACCAGAATCCAAAATTATTTTTGGAAAGTTAGTATGTGAAGAGTAGCTGCTGATATTGGCATATATTTTCTTGTTGTGAGTTAATCTGGAAAAACGACCTACCTCCAATAATAAAGTATGTGTTTGGCTTTGTGAAATGCTCTTTAAAGATGTGGAGAACTTAAAAGTCCCTCTTTTCAGTAGTTGTCTACATCCCATGAATTTACTTAAATAATTTTCTTGGGAAACTGTTGGACTTAAGTGAAAAGAGCCCTCCCCTCCAGGTCAAGCATCTGGTTGCCTATCTCAGCACTGCCATTACTGAGGTATGTCACCTCGTTTAATCTCAAGGTCTCAGTTTCCTACCTTTAATGAGAGGATTGGACTCAAGGATCTCTTAGGAGTTTCCCATCTTCTTGTTTTCTGTGACTTCCGTAGAACGAAGTTTGGCTATGTATTTACAATCTTGCTGTTCAGTCCAGAAAGACATAAATCACAGCAGGATCCTCTATGACCCACATCCCAGAATTTTAGAAATAAAAGCAAAAATAAGCAAATGGGACCTAATGAAACTTAAAAGCTTTTGCACAACAAAGGAAACTATAAGCAAGGTGAAAAGACAGCCCTCAGATTGGGAGAAAATAATAGCAAACGAAGCAACAGACAAAGGATTAATCTCAAAAATATACAAGCAACTCCTCCAGCTCAACTCCAGAAAAATAAATGACCCAATCAAAAAATGGGCCAAAGAACTGAACAGACATTTCTCCAAGGAAGACATACAGATGGCTAACAAACACATGAAAAGATGCTCAACATCACTCATTATCAGAGAAATGCAAATCAAAACCACAATGAGGTACCATTACACGCCAGTCAGGATGGCTGCTATCCAAAAGTCTACAAGCAATAAATGCTGGAGAGGGTGTGGAGAAAAGGGAACCCTCTTACACTGTTGGTGGGAATGCAAATTAGTACAGCCACTATGGAAAACAGTGTGGAGATTTCTTAAAAAGCTGGAAATAGAACTGCCATATGACCCAGCAATCCCACTTCTGGGCATACACACCGAGGAAACCAGATCTGAAAGAGACACGTGTACCCCAATGTTCATCGCAGCACTGTTTATAATAGCCAGGACATGGAAGCAACCTAGATGCCCATCAGCAGACCAATGGATGAGGAAGCTGTGGTACATATACACCATGGAATATTACTCAGCCATTAAAAAGAATTCATTTGAATCAGTTCTAATGAGATGGATGAAACTGGAGCCCATTATACAGAGCGAAGTAAGCCAGAAAGATAAAGACCATTACAGTATACTAACACATATATATGGAATTTAGAAAGATGGTAACGATAACCCTATGTGCAAAACAGAAAAAGAGACTCCTATGTATAGAACAGACTTGTGGACTCTGGGAGAAGGCGAGGGTGGGATGTTTCAAGAGAACAGCATTGAAACACGTATATTATCTAGGGTGAAACAGTTCACCAGCCCAGGTTGGGTGCATGAGACAAGTGCTCGGGCCTGGTGCACTGGGAAGACCCAGAGGGATTGGGTGGAGAGGGAGGTGGGAGGGGGGACCGGGATGGGGAATACATGTAAAAAAAAAAAAAAAGATACACTATGGTTGTGATAAAAAATAAATAAAAAATAAAATAAAATAAAAAATAAAATCATGAATTTTCTAACAAAAGGACTAGCATACTATAAATACAGGAATTAATGCACAGTTAAGTTGACTGAGACTTTGATTTTCATGACAGGGATTCCTAGATTTATAACAATTCTATCTCCATCACTGTGAAGTTTCCCCCCAAATAATATATCACTCTATGTTTTAAATTAATTACAATTTATTTTATTTGTAGATTTTTTTTTCTAAAATCACTGCTACACCACCATGATCATTGCCATCTTCTTTTGCCTGTCTAGTTGCTATAGCCTCCTAACTGGTCTCACTCCCAGTTTCAATATGATCTTTTCCAATCCATGTTCCCCTTCAAAAAAGAAGTGATCTCATCAAGACTCCATGCCCCTCCCCTGTGTAAATTACCAATTACATGTCATTGCCCTTATAATAAAATCCAAACTCTTCAGCAATGTTCACAAGGCCTTCACTATCCACACATGGTCTTCAGCAACTCTCTTCTGAAGCACTCACTGAAGTGCCCAGCCCTCTCCTGTCTCCATGGCAGCCTCACTCTTCCCCTCGGCCTGTGCTAACCCCACCTGTTTCCAAAACTCCTTCACAGTAATGCCTCTTCTACGTTTTCAAGTAAAATCTTGTAAGTAACCCTATTATCACTTGCCGCACGGTAAAACTGCTGACTAACCCCATTAGACTGCTGGTTAGGTCTCTGAGAACCAAAATGTGACTTCATTATTGTTTTCTGTGATTCTAAAATGGCGCCAAGCACTTAATAGGCTCAATCAATATTTTCTGAATGAATGGCTACATGAAAAAATAATTGAAAATTTGAGATGACTGCTGAGCTGGAGTGAAAATCACATTTTGACATCATGATTTTCTTCATTTGAGTGAGGAGTTTGAAAAGTACTGATCCTAA